CTTCTTCCCCGCAGTTGAAACATCGCCAGGGGTTTCCCATGCAGTCCTTGCCTCTATGATCTTTGTTGCATCTCTGGCAAAGGGAGGGCCTCGTATTAGATTCGTTGTTTCTTAGAGGTGGCCCTTGGCCAGCTGCGTTGCTTGGCCTAGTGTTAGTGTCGTTTCTTGTTCTTTTCACAGGTGGCGCTCCACCTCCCGTGTTCCTTTTACGAATCTGTTCCTGGACCCCACGTTGTAGTAGTTGGATTCAATAGAGGTTGGCGGCACTGGAGTAAGCCTCGTTGAGGGTCTGGGGTCTGCTCACGATTAGTGCCTTCTGGGCTTCGAAGTTGAGGCCTGACACAAATTTTTCTATCTTGGTCGTCTCTATAGGGACCAGCTCGGGCGCGAAACAAGACAATTTGAGGAACCGTTTGTGGTACTCCATGACGGTGGCCATTCCTTGTTTTAGGTGGAGGAATTCTTCATACATGTGCAGGGTAGAATCGTTCTCGCAGTCGTGTTTTTAGGTTCTCCCAGTTGAACTCTAGTTCCTGTCTGTAAGTGGGTCCTTCGTGGATCCACCAAAGGTCGGCCTCGTGTCCGAAGTAGAACGAGGCTATCTCTACATGATGTTCTTCTGGACACTCTACCAATCCAAGGATTTTGTCGAAAGTCCGAATCCATTCTTCGAGAATTGCGGGGTCCTCTTCCCTCGAGAATATGGGTGGCCGATGGTTTGAGACTTGTTAGGCGATTTCTGAGTTTGTGTTTGGCTGTGGTGGTGGTTGGTTGTTGTTGCGGAGTGCTACGTCGCTTAGTGTTTGGGTGACCCGAGTTAGTTGTTGTAGAGTCTAAGCCAGGGGATCCTGTGTGGTGGGTTCAGGGGTCCTTGATTGTCTTCTGTTTGGTGCCATGTCGTCAGTCTACAGGGCCAATTTTTATTGTAATGATGAGTTAGTGTGTTGTACCCTTACCTTGATGTGATAAGCGAAGGGGGAAATTCTTTAAATTAATAAGGGATAAAGTGACGGAAGGTTATGTGATGATAGGTAGGCTCACAATCTCACCGCGCGTCCTAAGATTCCTGAATCCTATATTCCTAAATGCCTAGAGTTCAAGCCTAATGTCCTAAAGTCTGGTCTTAAAAGTCTTATCCTAGGGTCAAACTTAGGCTATGATACAATTTGTAACACCCTGAAAATTTTAAAAACTTTTGATCTTATAATAGGAAAATAATTCTATTAATTTAATCCCAACACAGAGCATACTAATCATTAATGTCTGGGGTGCTATGCCACACCTGAGCAGGAGAACTCAGGTGTACAGGCTATACAAACTAAATATCCTCGAAGCAACGTCAATACATCATCAAGGCACACATGCCGAAAGGAAAACTAACTATCTAAGCAAAGGTCATCTAGCGCGCTTGATAAGTGCTTAATTGTCTATATTTTCCCCCCTTTCACTAAGCCATTTTGCTTATAGATCATTCCAAATTTCATGAGATTATGATTAAATTGTGTTATTTTGCAAGGAGTTTTGTTTGGAAACGAAGATGAGTATTTTCAGGCATTTTGGTGGACATTGGAGTCAAATGGAGCATTTTGGATGCATTAGGAGTCCATGGGAGCCAAGGAGAAGCTATGGAGATGGGCAAAACACTTCCAAGGAAGCCTAAGGGTGGTGCTTTGAATGGTCTTGGTCATTTGAGCAAACCAAAGCAAAAGAGAAGCAAAAGATCAATGCATTGCAATTCCCGACCTGCACGTCGACGTCATAGTATTTTGATCATATCTCGAGCTACAAATTTCCAATTGAAGTTATTTTTTTGTCATTGGAAAGATAACTTGAAGGGCTACAACTTTGATTCAAGCACCAAAGGCTAATTCAAACGTTTAAAGGGTGAAAAATGACCTAGAAGACAGATTCAGTGCACAGGCAGTGCACACTGCCTCGTGCCCACGGGTCTGGCCACGCCCGTGGCCACACCCGTGGCCACTGGGCAGTACACACTGCCTTTCTGGCCACAGGTGAAGCCACGCCCATGGCCACACCCGTGGCCAGGCCTCTGCAACTTTTCTCAGCTCGTTTTTGCTCATTTTAAAGGGGATTTTTGACCCCAAAAACATATCTTTCACTTCCTTTCATTTTCCTTTCATTTCCTTTCATTTCCTTTTATCTTCTTAGCTTAGATTAGTCTAGTATTTCATCTCTAACTCATCTACAAAGCTTGTAATCATGGATTGGAGTGGGATTCAACCACAAAATCTTCATCTTCAATAGAGGAGTTTCTTACTCTTCTTTTTAAGCTTTTGTGCAATGTTTATGATACTTTCTTGTGCTTTGTTGTTATTTATGCTTATGAAGTGTGAGTAGTTCGTTTTTGGGCTTGGATTAGGGTGATATTTCCAACCTAGATGCTAAATAGGTGATTATTGCATAAGGGGGAAGAACCCTAACCTAGGGTTCATTTGTTTGAGTTGGTTTTATGTTGAATCTTGCTAATATTTGGTACGTAACTCTTATTAGCTTGCTTTTGGATAGTTCTTCTCCACAATGAAAGTTGGGGGAAGAACTTAAGCCTCACCTTTCTCAAATCCCATTTTCCTTCTATGAAAATAGGGAAGAATTGGGGGCCTAAATGCTTATGTGCTTTAAGAGCTAGGAATTGATACACCACGAAAGTGGGGCAATCCTTACTCTAATCCTTGTTCTTTAGCTTATGAAAATGGCTTTAAGCTAGGATTTTTATGTGCTTTGCCCTTATGTTCCCTTGGTTGATGTTCTCCCCTAATCCCTAAGTTGTTAAAGCATCTAGAAGACAACATCCCCTAATTTGAGCTCATCTTTTATCATTGTGTTTACTTGTGTTTAAATTGCATTGTCTTAACTTGATTTTTAGCCTTTAATTGTTGACTTTACCCAACCATGAACTTGAATTTGCTTGGATTCTTGTGGGCTCCAATACTTTGGTGCCTAGAATTTTTGTTGTCACTCAAGTACGTGCCATAGTCCCAATCCCTTGCGGAACGGCAATTTACACCCGTTACTCACCATCTCTTTCCCGTACATCATCTTTTTGGCGCCGTTGACGGGGATTGGTTTATTTGGTTGTATTGTGTGATTGCTTTTTCTTTCTAGCATTAGAGTTAGTGAACTCGAAGGAGATCAAGTTTTTATTTTCTTTTGTTAATTTGTTTTAAATTGTGACTAAGTGCTTCCAAAGTTGCCTTTGCTTGAGTTTGGTTGTAGGTACTTCTCTTGGTGCATGCAAACTAGGTCTAAAGGGAGCCAAGACCTTCACCCTTTCAACCAAGAACTCTCTAGGGAGCTAAGGAGACAAAGAAGAGACTTGCTCGGTTGGTTGAAGGAGTTTGAATCATTGGAGATAAACATGGAGACGGGTGACACTAGCAATCCCGGTCAAATCTCACCCAATGATACAAGCACCCAACATAGCCCGAGACAAGGGGAATTCAATGAAGCTCATACTAATGTCTCACAAGTGCCAATTGCTCCCGTTCAATTACCAGCACAAGACTTCATGGCAAATCCTAATGCCAATCCTTATGTTGGAGGAGGAATGGGGTTTCCACAAGGTCAATACCCATTTTATCCTAACATGAATCAAGGGGGCATTCCTCAAGGCTATGGGCAACCTCAACAACAACAAGGTCAAGGGGTTGGTATGCAAAATCTTCTTCATCAAATGCACCCCAACTTTGCCAATCCTATGTTCAACATGCCTCAAAACTTTCCACAAGGAGTTCTTCCTATTTTTTTATCAAGGTGTTCCACAAAGACAACCCATGGCGGCCCATCTAGCTCCGGAGTTTGAAGAAGAGGATTGCATTGTTTACCCGGGGGTGGATGCCAACAATTTTGAACTCAAGACTTTTCTTATCCAAATGGTTCAAGCCAATCAATTTGGAGGTTCAAGGGTTGAGGATCCTAAGGCTCATGTTGTCCACTTTGATCGGATTTGCCAAACAATCAAGATGAATGGGATTCCTAGTGATGCAATCAAGTTGAGGCTATTCCCTTTTTCATTGAGAGACCAAGCATTGAGTTGGCTCAATTCCTTTCCGGCCAACCATTTCACAACTTGGGAACAACTTTACAAGGCCTTCATGCAAGAGTATTGCCCTCCTTCCAAGGCCGCCAAATTGAAGAAACAAATTCAAAATTTCCAACAATTTGGAAATGAGAATTTGTATGAAGCTTGGAAAAGATTTAAGGAGTTGAGAAGACAATGTCCAAAGAATTTGCTTACTCCGGGGGATTTCATCTCATCCTTTTATGAGGGATTGTTGGATAGCTCAAAAACCATTCTTGACACATCTTCATTTGGAGGCATTTTTATTGATATGGGTCCGGAGTATGGGGAACAATTGATTGAGAGGATCACTTCTAACACGGCATATTGGTATAATGAAAGAAGTGACCCACCCAAGAAAGAAAAAAACGCCGGGATGTTTGAGGTTGAAGAGAAGATGGCCATGCAAGCTCAATTGGATTCAATTCAACACATGCTCAAGAATATGATGCAAGCTCCGAAGCAAAATGTGCAAGCGGTGACTCAAACTCCTCCTCAAGTATCTTACATGTCTACTCCGTATTCCTTGCCACAAGCTACTTGCAATTCTCCCGGTTCTCAAAGTATGGCACTAGTAGCTTGTTGTGCCATATGTGGAGGAGCTCATGCTTCTCAAGCTTGTCAATTGTTAGATCCTAGTGGCCAATGCTCTTTATCAAACATGGAGCAAGTGGATATGATTGGGTATTCTAGACCCCAAAACCAAGGGCAAGGATATGGAAATTATGGTCAATAAGGAAGGAATCAATTTGGGTCTTCTTGGAACAATCAAGGTGTGCAAGGAAGGAATCCACCTCCGGGTTTTCAAGGAAATCAAGGAAATAGAGGTGGAAATCAATTGAATCAACAATGGAGAGGAAATCAAGGACATGGAAACAATCAAAATCAACAAGGATCCTCTCAACCTTCTCAAGATGTGGACATGAAGACATTAATGAACATGATGATGTCTCAAATGTCACAAATTAGCAAGTTGCAATCTCAAGTGGAGAATCTACAAGCCCAAAATCAAGGAGGAGGCAATCAAGGGTCTACACAAGCCTCATCTTCTAGTGGTAGACTTCCGGCTAACACCGAAAATCCTAGAAATCATGTCAACGCCATCACCACTAGAAGTGGAAAATCTTTGAAAGATCCACCCTTTCCTTCTAATGATCTTACAATTGAAGAAGATGTTGAGAAAGATGAAGATGAAGAAAGGCCAAATGAAGAGGAAATTGAAAAAATTCTTGAAAGTGAAAATGATGATGAGCCTCTAATTCAAAGAAACAAGTCAAAAGGGAAGGAGCCAATTCAAGAAGGAAACAACTCAAGTAAGAAGAATGTGAACAAGGGCAAGCAAATAGATGACTCGGTGATTCCTTGCAACTTGTTGCCATTTCCACAAAGGTTGTGGAAAACAAAAGAAACCGAGAGAGAAACCAAGTTTAAAACAATGCTTGATAAGTTGGAGATTTCTATGCCCTTTGTGGAAGCCATTACTCAAATACCTTCATACAAAAAATTCTTGAAGGATATTTTGAGTAACAAGAAGAGATTGGAGAAGAGTGCGTTGGTGGACCTTAGTGAGGGAGCTTTGACATGTGCCGTTCTCCAAAAGAATTTGCCTCCCAAGTTGAAGGATCCGGGAAGCTTTTCTATCCCTTGCATTGTAGGAGGATTTGTGGTGAGCCGTGCTTTATGTGATCTCGGGGCTAGTGTGAGCCTTATGCCATACTCTCTATGCAAGAGGCTCAATCTTAGAGAGCCCAAGCCCACTACCATGACACTCCAAATGGCGGACCGTTCCATCAAGCGCCCGGTGGGAGTTCTTGAAGATATCCCGGTCATGATTGATCAATACTAAATCCCGGGAGATTTCGTGATTCTTGACATAGAGGAGGATGCCAAGGTTCCAATAATCCTTGGTAGGCCATTTCTAGCCACCGCCGGGGCAATCATAGATGTCAAAAGAGGGAAGCTTGTGATGGAGGTAGCCGGCCATAAAATTGAGTTTGACATCTTCAAGATGGCCAAACACCAACCTTCTTACATTGATGAGTGCAACATGGTGGAAGCCATAGAAGAATGTGTTGGAGAGGTGCTTGGGATTGGAGGAGATAACCAAGGAAGCTCTCTTGTGGGAAATTTCTTTGAAAAGTTGGGAGAGTGCACCCAAATCAAGGTGGACCTTGGCATGCAAGAGTGGAGAAGCAACTTTGAAAACATGACGGGAGCTCTTGCCATTCTTGAACCCCTTGGAGATGAGCATGCCCCAAAGGTAGAATTAAAACCTTTACCTCCAAATCTCCGGTATGCTTTCTTGGATCTAACTCTACTTACCCGATGATTATTAATTCTTCTTTGCACAATGATGAAATTGATAAATTGCTTAATGTGCTTAGAAAAACATAGGAGGGTAATTGGGTACACAATTGGGGATTTGATTGGCATTGATCCTAAGTATTGCACGCATAGAATCTATTTAGAGGACAATGCCAAGCCCATTGTGGAGCCCCTTAGGAGATTGAATCCTAACTTGAAAGATGTGGTAAAGAAAGAGATTCTAAAGTTGCTTGAGGCCGACATTATATACCCTATTTCGGATAGCAAGTGGGTTAGTCCCATACATGTTGTTCCGAAAAAGGGCGGTATAACGGTCATTGAAAATGATAATAATGAGTTAATTCCTACTAGACTTGTTACCGGGCACCGAATGTGCATTGATTATAGAAAATTGAACAAGTCTACTAGGAAGGATCACTACCCCCTCCCATTTATTGACCAATTGCTTGAAAGAATGTCCAAAAATGAATATTTTTGCTTCTTAGATGGATTTTCAGGATATTTTCAGATTTCTATCCACCCCGAGGACCAAGAGATGACCACGTTCACATGCCAATATGGAACCTTTGCCTTTAAAAGGATGTCATTTGGTTTGTGTAACGCGCCGACCACTTTTCAAAGATGCATGATGGCTATTTTCTCCGAGTTGGTGGAGGAGATCATGGAGGTGTTCATGGATGACTTCTCCGTTTATGGGAAGTCATTTGATGAATGTTTAATCAATCTTGACAAAGTTTTGTGTAGGTGCCAAGAGGTGAATCTCGTGCTAAATTGGGAGAAGTGCCACTTCATGGCAACCGAAGGAATAGTTCTTGGGCACAAGGTCTCGGCAAGAGGAATTGAGGTGGACCCGGCAAAGATAGAAGTCATATCAAAATTGCCACCGCCGACCACCGTGAAGGGAGTAAGAAGTTTTCTTGGGCATGCCGGGTTCTATAGAAGATTCATAAAAGATTTTTCCAAGCTTGCAAAGCCCCTTACTCATTTGCTTGCCAAAGATGTTGATTTTCATTTTGATGAGTCTTGCCTTGTAGCATTTGACAAGTTGAAAGAGGCCCTATGCCATACTCCCATCATTCAACCCCCCGATTGGAGTCTTCCGTTTGAGTTAATGTGTGATGCAAGCGACTATGCGGTTGGGGCGGTGTTGTGCCAAAAGAGGAAACGGAGCTATCATGTGATCCACTATGCAAGTCATACACTTGATGAAGCCCAAGTGAATTATGCAACAACCGAGAAGGAGCTCCTAGCGGTGGTGTTTGCCATGGACAAATTTCGATCTTATCTCATGGGAAGCAAGGTGATAGTTCACACCGATCATGCGGCTTTGAAATACTTGTTCCAAAAGAAAGATTGTAACACCCCGTGTTACGGCCCCTAAAACCATTTAATTAATCAATCAATAGCCCAAGAGAATGAATAAATCATAATGATTAATTAGGGAAAAAGGCCCACCATAGTCCATGGGCCCTCACATATAAACCCAACCCCTAAACCCAATCCTTAGTTCCAAAAGGAATAGAATTAGCGAGCCTATAATATTAGTTCCTAATTAGGACTCCTAAATATATAAATAGGGGACTTAGGAGACACCTAGAACTTCCCACAAGAATAACGCCCCACCACCCCCAAAAGAGCTCCAAGAATCCCCTTAGGAGAAATCAAGAAAGCAAGGAAGCTTAAAGAAATATCCTTCATAGCCAAGGAATTAATTAAGGCTAAGAGGTAACCCATGTCTCAACAAAACCTATTTTCATAACTATGATTTCCCCCTTAGGGTTTCCCCATATTATTGTGTATTAATGACTTGTGATGATTATTATTGATGATTGATGTGATGATCCCATGGGGGATCTCGATAATCTTGATATTGGGAGATTCTTGATAATTATGATATTCTTGATGATTATATGGAGTTCTTGATGATTATGTGTTGTTCTTGATAATTGGGTGATGCTCTTGTTGTTCATGTGTTATTCTTACCGAATCTTGCAATTAGAAGACGAACCGTATTCTTGTTGATATAAAAGTGATTAGAACCATAGGTTGTATCGTATAATCTTATTCTTGGATTATCGGGTGGGGAAATCGCATGTTTGGGTGTTGATTATATTTAGAAAAGCATGATAGGTTATGTGCCGTTCGTTTCTTGTATTTGATTCGTTAATTGTCTACGTGTTGTCGTTAATTGTGTTGTAAGTGTCTAAGCATGGTTTCGGGTTCCATAACGGCTCCTGGGGCGTAAAGTGTGTGAAAAGAGTCAGTGGGGGGTAGGGTACCCGCCACCTACCCATGGCCGTAAAACACCGCCCGGCAGCGGGTGGCCGGCGGGCGGGCAGCTGCCCGCCGGCGACCCGCTGCCCGGAACAGTAGAATCCGGCGGGTAGCCGGCGGGTGGCCCACCACCCACCGGCTACCCGCTGGAAAATTGTCCCACCCAGGACCCCGGCTTCCCCGTTTGACGTTCCCCGTTCCCCGTGGTGTCCCGACGGACTCCGTTTATCGTGCCTATGTCTAGTTTGATGTTCCGGGTACCGTTCGTAGGTTTATGAGTCTATTATATTGCATGCTAGTTGAATTGGTATCCCGTTGACCTAGGTGGAAGAGGTATGAACCCCTTAGGACTATTCTTAGTAAGTGATGGATCACGCATAGGTTTTGTTATACGTTTTCTCCCCCTTCCTAATGTGTAATGTGGGTTGCATGTGCTTGCTATGTGTTATGTGTGTGCTACCCCAATTCGGTTGCGATCGGATTGGTTATCCTGAGCTGCGGTTTAGAAGCTGGCTGCGGTCAGATTGATACTCTTGGGCTGCGGTCCACCGTTTGGTTGCGATCAAACGTTTCTATACGAGCTACGGTTCGTCCTTTTTCCCTGGCTGCGGTCAGATGACATTCTCCTGGGCTGCGGTCCACTGTTTGGTTGCGATCAAACACTATGATGAGCTACGGTTCATCGGTCGGTTGCGATCAACCCCTCCGTGTTGCGATACGGGGCAGGGTGCTGCGGGGCCGTGTCAGAGCTATATGCGTTGACCCTCATGTATGGGCATGCGATTGGTCCTGTGGCGCCAACAAAGTGTGCTATGTGTTGAGATATGGATGAGTGGTGATCATGAGTGTCTTGGGGGATGTGACTACGGGATTTATGTTGGGGATTGTTGATGTTGAGTTATGACTATTGTTTATGCTTTGCCTTATCTGCCTTAACTGTAGTGAACTGCATATGCTCATTATAACTGTTGCTTGTGTCTGGCCTTATCTGTCGAGTCATTCCCGGTTTTAAAGATAGAGTTCGTAGGATATATCTTCATGCTCAAAATGGTTTTCATATATCTATATATATCTCTATATGTATTGTATTTCAACGCGTTGGAGTGGGTTACCAGCATCTCTCGCTGAACAGATATATTTGGCTTTCAGGCACAGAGGACTAGAGCACTGGAGCGCGCTAGAAATTGGAGCGTAGAAATAGATTAGTTTCCCTTTCGGCCTGCGCGCCATATTATGCATTATGTTTAAATGGATATTAGTTAGACAGCCTGTGCACCTGGGTTCTCTAGCCCAGGTGTGGCATAGCACCCCGTACACTTATGATATACTTTGGGATGTAATGAGATATTACCTTTATTATATAAGTTTAAAATGTCTTGAAAATCTGGGGTGTTACAGTTGGTATCAGAGCCTAAGTTTGACCCTAGGAAGAGACTCGTAAGACAGGACTTTAGGACATTAGGCTTGAACTCTAGGTACCTAGGAACATGGGACTCAGGAATCTTAGGACGCGCGGTGAGATTGTGAAACCTACACATAACTTCTCTACACTTTACCCCTCCTCATTCTAAAACCCTTCCCCATTTATCACTTCATAAGAAGTGCATCAGACTCTAATTTAACGTTGTAACACCCCGTGTTACGGATCCTAAAACCAACTGATTAATTAATTAATTAATTAATAACCCAGGAGAAAGAATAAATTATAATGGTTAATTAGGGAAAAAGTCCACCATAGCCCATGGGCCCAATTATATAAACCCAACCCCTAAACCCAATAGGAATAAACTCTAAACCCTTGGATCTATAAATAGGGAACTTAGGGAGCACCTAGAACCCCTCCCACACGCCCAGACGCCCCATCATCCCAGGAGAGCTCCAAGAATTCCCCTAGGAGAAATCAAGAAATCAAGAAAGCTTAAAGAAAGATCCTTCATAGCCAAGGAATTAATTAAGGCTAAGAGGTAACCCATGTCTCAACAAAACCTATTTTCATAGTTATGAATTCCCCTTAGGGTTTCCCCCATATTATTGTGAATGGCGAAATTATGGTGATTATTATTGATGTTGATTTGATGATTCCATGGGGAATCTTGATAATCTTGATATTGGGAGTTTCTTGATAATTATGATGTTCTTGATGATTAATTGGTATTCTTGATGGTTATGTGCTTGACGATTATAATGTTCTTGATGATTAATTGGTATTCTTGATGGTTATGTGCTTGACGATTATAATGTTCTTGA